CGAGATGTTGTCGTGGGATCGAGCCGACGACACNGTGCGACTGGCGGCTCCCACACGGTGACAGAGATAGCACGATGATACAGCACGACGAAGCACGACGAGCCGAGACATAGCTGGTGGGGTGCACGGTCTCAATGGAAATAAAAAAAATGCGGTACACGACCCAGCGAACACGACCGAGTGCGCAAACTGTCCCGTGGGTCAGGTTGTGTTGCGCATCACACTTCGGTGCGCGTTGTGTTTCTTTTCCTTGCTATTCTTGCTATCGTTTCTACTCACTGCTATTCGTTGTTTCTATTCATTGCTACTGCTTTGCAACGTGGACTGACCTTGTATCGTGTAGGATGTGCAGATGAGGATGGCGATGAATAGCCATCGATGGCGATGAACAACCGTTGATGTGCCGAGATGTTGTCGTCTGGCAAAAATCGGTTAGCGAGCCGATGCATGTAAAGAGGCCAGCTTCGCGAAATACCGCGCAGCTTATGTCGGCAGCGCAACTAGTCTACAACCGCCAGCTTTAAAGCAACCGTATCTGAAAATAAGTAAACCGGATGCGTATATATGCGGTGCAATTATAATGTAGCGAGGCAACGTCCATGAACAAAACAGCTTCACAAAATGCCGTACAGCCTACACGGACAACGTTGGACAAGCACTGCACAGTTCAGTGCGCGTCAAATTGCGTGGTTTCGTGTACGTTAAATTGCGCGTTGAATTGCATGTTTAATTGCACGTCGAGTTGTGTGGTGGGTTGCGCGTTAAAATGCGCGAGTCGGCGCATGTCAAATTGCGCAGTGCGGTGCAGCCAATGTTTTGCGATTTGCGCGTTAAATCGTGGTGCAGTGCGGTGCGGTGCGGTAAACGGTCCCGAACGAAAAAACAAAAAGAAACTCATGCACCGGGATCGAGCCGGCGACCGCGGTTCCCACTCAGTGTCGAGGCTAGCGCACACCACAAGAAGTGAGCGCCGATGCTCCGGGGCGCATTGCGCGGGTCCAGGTGTGGTGCGGTGCGATGCACTGCCACACGCAGTGTGGCGCGGTGCGGTGCAACGCGGTGCAGTGCGGTGCGGCGCGGACACCGAAGCGGTGCACGGCGATGCTCGGGGGCGCATTGCACGGGCCCAGGCGTGGAGCAGTGCAGTCCGGGACGACGCGGTGTGCGGTGCACGGTCCAGAACGAAAAGAAATGAACAATAAACGACGACGACGCGAAAAACGAACCACGCGACGACGAAGGCAGCGCTCCCGAACGAAAAATAGAAGAATAGGCGACGAAGCCAGCGAGCCGCAACGTAAAAGCGGATGAATCGACGCGCCGGCGCGGGGATCGAACCGGCGACTACGGCTCCCACTCGACGTCGGAGCTAGCGCGCCCGACGAAGCGGCGCACGGCCATGCTCCGGGGCGCCTTCCGCGGGCCCAGGTGTGGTGCGGTGCGATTCGGTGTGGTGCGGCGCGGTGCGGTGCGGTGCGAAAAAACGA